AAATATATTTAAATAGGCATGTATAGTTTAGTTCAATTAAATGTATCATTTATAGCAATAGTAGTTTTTTTTTCTTTTAGAAACATAACTATTTATAATGCTCCCAAAACAATAAAAAAATAAATTACAGTGAAAGCAATGAAGATTTTGTAGGTTTTGAACCAAACTAAATAACAGTAAACCTTTTTTTGATTTACGGTATTTTCTTATTTTGATGTTTTGGGCTCTTTTGTGTTTAGAACAATATATACTAATTTTTAAAGTATGAAATTGAATTTTTTGTTCAATAAAAATCTTTCATATGCGACTGTAGATTTTTTTCTCCAAAACTTTGTCTTCAAAATAAGGGTGCGTCTTATATTCCGAAAAATACCGTATTAGAAATTTTATAAGCATTGTTAATTGTAAACTAAACAAAACTTTAGAAAGCCTTAACTATCTTAAACTCGCATATCCTAGTTTTTCATTGAGTTTCATTTCCGGCCTTCATTCACATATTAATGTCAATAATATCTTCAATCATCTGCATTTCAGAGTATCCTGACTGCTCTAAGAAACTTATTGCTAAGCTACTAGGAAAGAAAGCCGGCTGTGATCTATACCTACAGACTCCTCAAATAAGGAATGATGTAAAGAGTTTTCTCTCTCTTCTTCTGTGAATATCGACATGTAGTTAATGATCTAAGTTCAGACTTTTAGCACATTTCCATCTGATTTTCTTTCTTATCTCGTTATGACTTTTTACACTTTAGAATGAGATGATTGGTTCACTTCCTTGAGCGTATAAGAAAAAAACTCCAACTGGGTACTGAATGTAAATAAATAGAACTTCGTAATGGTATATTCTCCTACAACTGAAAGCTTTATTCAAGCTGAAGAGGGAAATAATTTCGTATCGTTGATTTTAATATTGAAAAATGTACTTTAATTATTGCAATGAAATATACTTAAAAAACGGCGAGATACTAAAATACACAGCGCCAGAACAAAATAAAAGCGAAACGCTTCACTAATTCAGCAATTGTGTGTAAGTAGGTACTTCGTCATTTTGAAGTACACTTACCTATTTTGGCTTTCCTAAAATAATTATTTTTCTTGATTTGAAAAACATGTAATAAAATTTAGTAATAATAAAATGTTACATAAAATATGTGGATTAAACTGAAATACTCTCTTGAAAATATGAAATCTATATTTTTCATTTCAGAAAACTAATTATTTCTAAACTGTGCCCTAAAACGATTTGAACCTTTTCAAGTGAAACGGTTTTTAGAATTTTAGAAGTTTTTGTTTCTCAGGATCTGATTGATTAAATGAGTATCTCTGTTTTCAGGTATTACTGTGTCATTGAATTTAGACCAAATTTGGTGCAAGTTTCTGTCTCGTTTGCTTGCTTGTTTAATTTTGAACATAGTTGCATGAGTGCTATCTGCACTAGGTGTCCATAATCTTAAAGTAATAGATTAGAGACAACTGAAATAATTAACATCATATTCTACCAACTCTTGAGCTACTGTTTACCATAGGACAGTGGGATTAACTGTGGAATTAAAACATCCCCACTGCTGAAAAGATGAGCATGTCCCCCGAATTGCACATTAGCAGTCGAGCTCCCTAGCCAGTAGGCTATGTCAGGTCTAGTTTTACTCTCATTCAAAATTCAGTATTTTCAGTTTTTGAGAAAATGCGTGAAAATTCACAATTATAATAATAATATGTTTTAACTATAAAGGGTAAAATATCATATTGAAGTCAAATTTAAAACAAAGTATGTATGGAATAGTCACATTGGAAGGGACGAAACATGCGCTCTGACGGGTGATCTGTGTAGTAGTTGTAAAAAAGTTTAATCAATTGTTTGCTAATTTTAAAAATTATCAGTTATAAAATAATTCTCTATTGTAATATAATAATGTTCAGAAACAAGTAATAATATTATGGTTCACCATTCTAACAAAACTCATGGGTCAAAAGAAATAATGAAGTCCAATACTCCGAGTGTTTTCAGCAAGTAGACCTTTCTTCAATCCCTATTAAGTACAACTTAATTTTGTTATCTTACCTACACATCCCCGTGGGAAACAGCTTAGAAATATCCTACCTACACATATCTGTAAGAACTACTTAATGTTATCCTACCTATATATTTCTGGATTTTGAAAATGAATCGTGGTTACAGTGAAGGATTTTTTAAATTCATTATTGTTATAAAAGCACTTTAAAGCCTTGTTTGTGTGAACTATTATCATGATGGGAAAAAACATAAAAACTTGATTGTGCGAACTGTTATTATGATGGGAAAAACATGAAAAAATTGATTGTGTGAACTATTATCATGATGGGAAAAACATAAAAAACTTGGTTGTGTAAACTATTATCATGATGGGAAAACTAAACTTGGTTGTGTGAACTATTATAATGATGGGAAAAACCATTATTCTGCTTTCAAATCGTATTAGTCTCCCGAAGTACTTTGGGTAAGACATTCTAGTTTAGTTGATAATTCATAGTTGGTTCTAATTTAGGTTTCCACGTTGTTAATATACTTGGTTTTGCATGTTAAGTCTTATACAGATCAAGACCGTTACTGGGAATCAGCCAACACGACCCACGCTCCTGATGCATTTCACAGTGCCCCGAATCTATTTTGAGATCTTTCATGAATGATAATACATTTCCTTGAAATAAAGGTCTTAATTATTTTGAGCAGTGGTTCCTTCTCAGGGGCCTCCAGTGGCAAGTCTGAAGGCTTATAACGCTAAAAACCGGGTTTCGACACTCATGGAGGGCACAGCACAAATAGCCCATTGCGTAGCTTTATGCTTAACAACAAACAAACAAGCTCTTGGGGCCCAAGTACCGAATCTTTTTAATAGCTAGCGACGCCCCTGTTACGGTTTGTTTGTAATTATGCACAAAGCTACACAATGGGCTGTCTGTGCTCTGCCCACAACGGGTATCTAAACCCGGTTTCTAGAGTTGTAAGTCCCCAGACATACCGCTGTACCACTGGGGGGCCCCTGTTACAGAGTAACTGGCAGATTTTCGATTTTACTTGTTTATAGGTTAATTATTTTACTACATAAAAATCTTGTCTCTGGTTTAGACTTTCGTGGGCTTAAGTTTTAAATACTCTTTCTGGTAGGATTTTTTATAATTTCATAAATTCACAGTACTGTTAAACATATTCCTAGTAAATAATTAGTCGAAACTTTCACTTTCCAAAAATTTCTCAGGAAAGCCCCCCATTAGCACAGTGGCATGTCTGCGGAGTTACAACACTAGAAACTGGGTTTCGATACCCGTGGTGGGCAGAGCACAGATAGCACAAACAAAAAAAAGACAAATAACATAAATTACAACATTGTTTTATAATGAAATAAGAAGAAATTTCCGGATTCAGAATCATGTTAACTGGTTAATATTTAGCAAACAACGATATTACACAAACGAATATAGAGAAGAATTTGAGGATGCCCATTGTCATAAAAGTAGTATATAATGATGGATAACATCATAAACATTCCTGACGTCCATGCATTATTGCGAAATTTTTCTTGTTTTTAAAAATTTCGCTCCATATTACACAAGGTCGATCTGAGCTTAGGCGTCTCCAACTTTAAACTTGGAAGCAGACACTCAACAACACCCACTGTCAACTATTGGGATACTCTTATCTGACCGAACAGAGGGATTTGACAGTCAATCTTATAGCGCATCTACTGCCCCAGAGTAAGGAGTGTATTTTTTTACAACCGAAAACAAGCCATAAATCCTCGAACTCACATTCTAGAAACGTGCGAAAAAATAAAAAAATATAAAACGATGCAGTAGTGTGTTCACTGACTACTAGATGCCACTACTAACTTTTGTACTCTTAAATCGTAATTAAAATACCTAGTTTATTAAGATATTTATAAAAATTAACAAAATTGTACCATCTTTTTTTTTTGTATGTGTGTGTGTGTGAACATACACTTTTATCTTTGAGATTATGAATGAAATAATTCATTTACTCTTTAGTGGCTTTCGTAAAGTTTTTTTTAAGTTTTCAAATTGTGTTAGATATATACGATAATATATAAAAATGTTCATGTATAAAATGATTACATTTTAAAACTTCTTGCACTGTGGGGAAAAGATTCACTAAAAGCACTTCGAGAATCATATGTTTTATTCAGGAATGTTTAAACGTGGTTAAATTTAGTTTTCCTAAGTAGCTTTTGATATACAGTAATTATAAACAAAGGGTTTAATAATTACTCGGTATCCGAAATGGTGTATTTAAGTGTTTTACACTCTCAAAAAAGAAACCTATCATTCTATAGATATTTGAAGAAGTTGTAGCATTCCATCACAATTTATTTGTTCGTATTGTTAGTTGACACTAGGCAGTTGATACATAATTGTACAGAGTTGTTTAAACATTTGTATAACAACAAGTAAAAGCTTAGAATGGTCTATTCTTTCATTGGGGGTGTGGCTATGAGCCAGACTAGAATTCCACTCCTCATCAGTGATCCTGGACACTACCACCAATGAAACATCATTCCAAGCTTTTACTTGTTGTTGAAAAAATGCTTAAACAACTCTATTCAATTACTCTGTATTGATCTTCCATATATAAAAGCCCTCCCTCCAAGAGTTCAGTGGTAAATCTGAGGTCTTACAACATTAAAAGTCGGGTTTCGATACCCGTAGTAGGCCCAGCACAGACAGTCCATTTTCTAGTTTTGCGCTTATCAACAAATAAAACATACTGAAAGAAAGTACTTCTCAAGAACACGGAAACTCAGTTTAAAAATAAGTGAATCTCTCATTTTGTAAAAAATACAAAACATAAATAAATGCAATTATTTTATGACGTAAATTAATTTTCAGAAGCTAATATATAAGTCAAAATTTTCACAGTTCTCCCACAAATTGTGTGTATACGTACACTGAGTGGTCACAAGTAAATAGACACCTAATTTTTCGTCATTTAACTGATTTATGCTAACTAATTTGTGTTCACAGAGCAGTATATAAATGAAAATGGTCCGCATACTAATTATCTTGTGCTACAACATGCCTAGAACTCAAGGTTCTCTCGAATTGTCAGATTTTGTTAGAGGAAGGATAGTTGGTCAAGCAGATTGTGGAATAAGTCAGCAGCAAATTTCGCAGAATTTGGGAATCCA